ACTTTCATAATTTTTCGTAATCCTGCTTGAGAAAAGCCAAGTTGAGTAATTTTGTTCAATTTTCTCCAACTTTCAAAATTACTCATACTAGTTTATTGCAAAAGTACTGGTCTGATTCAGAACGAAAGTACTTTGCAAAAGTCCCATTAATAACGAAGTCATGATTTAATGAAAAAGTGGTGAATAAAGTTTCGGACCCATAGCCCCTCTATCCTATCTTTCAAAATCGTTGAAGGCTTCTGATGTGAAAACGCAGCAGGTGGAAAAAACCTACGACGCGATACCTATAGAAGAACAGCTGGAGGCAGAAAAACGAGATCTTGAAAAACAAGAAAAGCTACAAAAGCGGAAGGAACAGAAGTTGCAAAAAATCAACAAGGAACTGCTAAGAACTGTTTCACCTCCACTCACGCCAGCTGAGGTAACCGAAGCTTCACACTTTGAATTGGAAAATAGCTTCTTTCTCTTTGCATATGGCCTCAAAGACTCAATTTGTCTTAAACTTACAACTGTTTCATCTCAATGTGTTTGATTCACCTCGTCTAGAAACCATAAATCTCTAAGTGGATTGGTCCGAAAAATTAGTAAATTCTTTTCCATTTTGATATCAAAAATCAGATAGCTTGCGCTTTTTTAACTACTTCATAGTCTAACTGACCAAAATCCGAGAGTACCTTATTGAAAAAAGAGAAATTTTGGACAAAGTTGCAAAACTCAATTCCATACCTAATAAATTCAACTGACAGGAGTTTTCTAGGTTGTTTTGCCAGCTCCAGACTTGGAGACGGAGGAAATAGCCATGGATTCTGAAACGATACAGTCAACGATAGAAACAGAAGAAACCACACCGGCTATAACAGAAGGTCCTTGCAAAGAGAAAACTATGGAAGAGACAGATGTTTCAACTGAACCGAGCACAATACCCACAACGACAGAAACCCCTGCATCAACTAGAACTATTAGAAGAAAACCTACTAGAAGAGTAAGGATGAAGAAATTACAGAACAAGGAGAAGGAATCAAAGGATAGGCAAGTAACGCATGATGTGACTGAAAAGAATTCAGCATTAACTTTCCACCCACGCCATCAAAGACGTAGATCTCAAATTGTCGTCAGAAGGAAACCCGCTAGAGTTGTCAAAACCAACGAAACTCTAGCAACAACCACAGAAGTGATTCAAGAGCTGTCTCCAGAACTCGCCAGGAGTAAAATCCAGCTTTATCAGCAGA